TGTGTGTGTGTGTGTGTGTGTGTGTGTGTGTGTGTTGTGTGTGTGTGTGTGTTGTGTAGGTATCTGTGTATATGCTTTGTGTGTGCCCATACATTTGCACGCGTACATGTAAGCATGTATTATATGTATAAATATTTCTATATTTAGACATGATGCGTCTATAATGTGTTTTTGTGCTTAGACTTCAGTTTCAGTAATTACATTTCTGTGGATCTGAAACAGGAAGTTACACGTCCTTAACATGATAGTGGAGATAGACGGTATTCCCGGAGTCGCCGCTAGGGATGTCGGCAGCCTTTGACTCTTTGAGTGTGTGAAACTTTGGTGTGAAAACATGTTATGTAATACATTGGTGTGGAAACGTGTTATGTAATACATTGGTGTGAAATCAAGTTACGTAATACATTGGAGTGAAATCAAGTTACGTAATACATTGGTGTGAAATCAAGTTACGTAATACATTGGTGTGAAAACCAGTTTTAAAACGCTGTGGTGTGACATCGGGTCAGTCCGGGATAAGAAGTGACTGCTGTTCCCGCCACGCGGAGTAGAAGGCGGCATGGAGAACTATTATTCCAAAGACCTGACCCTCCTCAAGTTTAAGAAAGGCAGAGGTTTGTAGAACTGTCTGTGGAGATGGCAGAGATGTTGAGTCGTGTCAGCTCACACACCGTCCTTTTCTGTTCTTCCACTACCGTGTCTTGAGCATTGGTGTGCAGAAATACATTCAAAAGAAAATCTGTCTATCTCTCTTTCTCTCCACCTCCCCCTGTATCTCTGTTTTCATTGGTGGGTGGTTGGCGGGTGCTCTGGTGTGGTTTGCTTTTTCTTTCCTATCAAACATCTGTCGTCCTTATCTCCCCTTCTTCTTTCTTATGTTTGTTTCTCTCTTGTAACGCCTCTAATGTTTTGGCGCTCATATGTCCTTATGCAGTTGGGAGCGCCGTAAAACATCTTCTGTACCTCTTTCTTTCTCTTTTGCTCTGTTGTCTGTGTGTCTGTCTGTCAGAGTGTGTCTGTCAGTCTTTCTGACTATAAAATCATTATATACACACACACAGTGTATTTGGACACGAGTTGTCAAGTGATATCCCAACATTCCACAGTCCAGTCGACAGTATGGTATTGGACTGCTGGGTTACCGGAAGTCAGATGTTGTAATTTGTTTGCTTGTTTATGTGTTTATTTGTTTGATTGTTTGTTTATTTGTTTGTTAGTTTGACCCTTCATTGAGTTTCCTGTTTTGTTTGTTTGTTCACAGACGAGAGAGAAGACATACAGAGAAAGACTTTCACCAAATGGATCAACTCACAGTTCTCCAAGGTAAGATCCAATCATAGCAATCAAATCTTTGATGGGGGCTCTCGTGGCCTAGAGGCTAAGGTGTTGGCCTCTCGTTCAACAGGTCCCGGGTTTGAATCCGGATAGTTACGGAACATTTTCTACTCTAGAACTTTTCCCCTTAGCCTCCTGTCCTGCTCACCAATCATGTTCTGTCGTCTGCTTTCGTCTCCACTTTTTACCCCCGCCCCCTCCTGCTTCTCATTGGCTCCTTCTTACTGCTGTCTTTCAGCCACATTCCTGATCTTCTGGTAGGAAATATCTACACGTAGCCTTTTCGGACTAGGGAGAAAATTCCCGTAGGTCCCCAGTGCAAGTTGTGCACGTTAAAGACCCCTTAGTGGTCCAAAATCGATTAGAGTGGGCTTCCGCCGCAACCCGGACAAAATTCAAAATGTCCAATTGAAAATGTTTGGTGTGTCCAGCGCTCTCATGTGACCTTATCGAGTTCCGAGGACCGTAAAACACTTTCCACAAAAGTCTTTGATGTTTTACATCCTCTTTAGGACAGTTTAGGGGACGGGTTGCTTGGAGCCAGCCTGTCAGCGGGACACAGGGATCCTTCAAACAAACTGAATCTAACAAACTTTCAACTCCACTGAACATTTGGTCACTTCAAGCACAAGGAAGCTATCCCGAAAAATGCAGTTTTGAGAAAATCGAATTTAAAGTTTTGCCCGTTGTTCAGTTTCTTTAAAAGACAAGGAGAGTTTTCTCTATAACCAAACAAAAATATTCATACCAATAAAACCAAACTTCTCCTACAGGTAGAGCAATGCCCACTTTTGGTGTAGATCAAGATTTCTGAAAACCCTCGAAATCTGGATTAGCCCGCTTGTCCTTAAAAGCGACTGTTTATCAAGACAATATTTTGTTACTCCTGTTTTCGCCCGTTGATCCTGTGCTCACCATTGTCTCTTTTCTGTACATCTAGTCGTGTGCTCACCATTGTCTCTTTTCTGTACATCTAGTCGTGTGCTCACCATTGTCTCTTTTCTGTACATCTAGTTCTGTGCTCACCATTGTCTCTTTTCTGTACATCTAGTTCTGTGCTCACCATTGTCTCTTTTCTGTACATCTAGTCCTGTGCTCACCATTGTCTCTTTTCTGTACATCTAGTCTTGTGCTCACCATTGTCTCTTTTCTGTACATCTAGTCCTGTGCTCACCATTGTCTCTTTTCTGTACATCTAGTC